CAACCCATTTTCCAGACCCTTCTCAGGTAAATATTACTCTGCTTCTTAATAAAACCTTGCTTATTTGCTCCTCAAAAACAAAACATGAGCCAGGCAGTGCTGGCACACAGCTTTAATACCAACACTTGGGAGGCAGAGGCAAGCGGATCTCTGAGAGTTCGAGGCCAGCCTGGTTTACAGAGCTAGTTCCAGGACAGCCAGGGCTGTTACACAAAGAAGTTCTGTCTTGAAAAACCATTAAAAAAAGGGGGGGGGGGCTGGAGAGATGGCTCAGTGGTTAAGAGCACTGACAGCTCTTCCAGAGGTCGTGAGTTCAATTCCCAGCAACCACATGGTGGCTCACAACCATCTATGATGAGACCCGGTGCCCACTCTTGGCCTGCGGGCACACATGGAAGGAATGCTGTACACATAATAATAATAATAAAAAAGAACAACACAAATAAAAACAAAGAAAGGCTAGAATGAATACAGAGGGACAAAAAGAAGTGAAGTTGCTTACTACAGCTGGATTGTGGAGTCCTACACCTTTAATCCCAGCACTTGAGAGACAGATACACTTGAGAGACAGAGGCAGAGGCAGGTACTACCTTTGAGTTCAAAGCCTGGCCTACAGAGCAAGTTCCAAGACAGCCAAGGCTACACAGAGGAAACCGGTCTCAAAAAAAAAAAAAAATAAATAAACAAACAAATAAAAAAATAGACAAATGCTGGGCAGTGGTGGCACATGCCTTTAATCCCAGCACTCGGGAGGCAGAGGCAGGCGGATCTCTGTGAGTTCGAGACCAGCCTGGTCTACAAGAGCTAGTTCCAGGACAGGCTCCAAAACCACACAGAAACCCTGTCTCAAAAAACCAAAAAAAAAAAAAAAAAAAAAAAGACAAATAAAATAAGAAAATAAATAAAACAAAGAAAAAATTTAAAAAATAGAGAAAAATAGGCAGAGAAAAATGTAGAGCTCAGTAAATATCAATAAAATAAAAAAGAGTAAATGAAAAAATAGATAGCTCATGTCACAAGCAATAGCAATGTATTACAATAAAGTCTTTTAAATCCTGTCATAGCATTCTAGAATCCCCAAGACCACAACTGCCCTCTAGTCCTCTCCCTGCAAAGCAAGCACTGTTTCCTCGAGTGTTTCTTGACCATCCTTTACCTTGACTTGAGAAGTCTGGGACTCCTATAGACAACACAGACCTAGGGCAAGAACTTAGTAAAGTATTTGTGAGGATTTGAGTCAGATGCCCAGAACCCACGGGCAGGGGAAGACAAGCATGGTGGCGGCATTGGGGAAGCACAGACGCTCTGGACAGCTGGTGAGAGAACTTACCTATATACCAAGAAAGAAAGGAAGGAAGGAAGGAAGGGAGGGAGGGAGGGAGGGAGGTAGATGTTGCCTGATACTTCTCCGCCCTTCATACACGCACCAACATGCGCACCCCCCCTCCCAAGTCATGACAAATACCCACAGCAGCACAGTAAATGGAACTTTGGAGAGACACCATCACATTTCCTTTTCCTCAATGGACTCAGTGTGTATTTATTTATTATTTATTTATTTATTATGTATACAATATTCTGTCTGTGTGTATGTCTGCTGGCCAGAAGAGGGCACCAGACCTCATTACAGATGGTTGTGAGCCACCATGTGGTTGCCGGGAATTGAACTCAGGACCTCTGGAAGAACAGGCAATGCTCTTAACCACTGAGCCATCTCTCCAGCCCCCTCAGTGTGTATTTAAATAAGCTGATGGCAAAAATGAACAGAATGTGTTCGGAATCATATTGGCTGGCATTTGTTGGTACAATCTTGTACAAGAGCTAAGTATTTCCTTTTTTTTTTTTTCTTTTGAGACAGGGTTTCTCTGTGTTGCTTTGGAGCCTGTCCTGGAACTAGCTCTTGTAGACCAGGCTGGCCTCGAACTCACCAGATATGACTGTTGTTCTGGTTTTGGTCCCTTTAAGAGACAAGCCACGCCCACTCCCTCCCCCTTCTGCTGAGGCAGGCTGATCTTCAGCTTCCGGCCTGAGCTCACTCTCTTTTCCGTCTTCCTCTCGGAGAGGCAGCTTCGCTTCTGCCTCTCTCCCCACTTCTCTGTCTCTTTCTCCCTCTCCCTCTCTCTCTCTGTCCCCCCCTTCACCCTTCCTCCTCCATAGCCCTCTGAATAAACTTCAACCTCACCCTGCATGTCTTGTCTATCCATGTTTCTGTCTTCTGCCCACCCGCCATGTGTCTCCCTGCCTGGGACCAGCCATTGCTCAGGGACCAGCAGCCGTCTCTGCCTGGGGCCCACTGCCTGCTGACACATGGCCCGCCACCACCATTTGGGACCTACAGCATTTCTGCTGCCTACTGCCGCGGGATCTTGCAGCATTTTTTAAAAAAGAACAACTGCCTCTGCCTCCCAAGTGCTGGGATTAAAGACGTGTGCCACCACCGCCCGGCTGTATTTCCTAATTTAAAAAAAAAAAAAAACTGCCTGGGCCAGTTGTGGTGGAGCACGCCGGTAGAATTTGCTGAAGGAGGCAGAGGCAGGAGGATCACGAGTTCGAGGCCAGCCTGGGCTACACATTATTAGAAAAAAAACTGGCTGGACGGTGGTGGTGCACGCCTTTAATCCCAGTACTGGAGAGGCAAAGACGGGCGTACCTCTGTGAGTTCGAGGACAGCCTGGACTACAGAGCGAGTTCCAAAGCAGGCACCAAAGCTACACAGAGAAACCCTGTCTCGAAAAAACAAAAACAAACAAAAATTCATTATAAGAACAGCTAGCTAGCTGGATGTTAAAATTCAAAGTATCACTAGGAATAGAGCTCTTGCAGTTGGTATTGGGCAATAGAAATGGAGTACAGTCCGCACTGAATAGCAGCCAGTTTCAGGAGGTTGCTTAGGGTCAGGTAAACTGGAGATTTCTGTGGAGAAAACAAGAAAAGCCTTACTGTTTACAGCTGATGTGTGAAATGGCAAGTATTTAATGTGGTTGGCGGCAAAAAAAACCTTTCACCAGTAGGAACGTGCTCCTAATGATGACCTTGCACCAAAATATAACTTTATTAAATCATAAAGTACAGTATGTACAGCCAATATCACTTTAAATCAAATTTCAATGCTAAGCGGAAAGGGCTTACTAGGTTTACCAAAGTCTGTAGTATTACCGGGCAGCAGTGGCGCAGGCCTTTAATCCCAGCATTCAGGAGGCAGAGGCAGGCAGAGCTCTTTGAGTCTGAGGCCAGCCTGATCAACAAGAGCTAGTTCCAGGACAGATAAGAGATACCTTGTCTCGAAAACAAACAAACAAAGAAAATCTTTACTATTTTAATATCCATTGTAGGGAAGAAAAATTGGGACCAAAGTTGTGATCAAGTGCTATTTCCATAAATGAAGGACTGGATAATAAACGGGAAGTGAAGGCTCACCTCCCTAATCTCAGCACCTGGGGGTGGAGTCAAGGTCAGTTGTTCAAGGCTAGGGGCTGGAGAGCCTTCTGGAAGATTAAGAGCAGTCGCAGCTTGGCTTCCCAGTACCTTGTTGGGCAGTTCACAACAGCCCAATATCTCTGGTGACTCAGGACACCCGCACACTTGTGCACACACGCGTGCCCGTGCACACGCACATCATTAAAAATAGAATAATTCATGGTGGCTGTGCACGCCTTTAACCCAAGCATTTGTGAGGCAGAGGCAGGTGGTTCTAAAAAAAGAATAAATCTTAGAAATGGAGAGAGTATGAGTGTCCAAAGCCTGCCGGGTGTGGTCCTTATGCCTTTAATACCAGCCCTAGGGACGCAGAGCCAGGAAAACCTAAAAGAAGAAAGTATTAAAACATTTTTTTCAAGGTTAGTTGATGTGTGGTACTCAGGCCTGAAGTCATCCCAGCATTTAAAGGGCTGAGGTAGGCGCATTCCGTTGAGTTCAGAACCAGAATGGTCTAGCTGATGGCTTCCAGGTCAGCCTGGACTTGAGTGGAAAAAAAGGAAGAAAAAAAAAAGCGAAAAATAAAGTTCCAGGCCAGCTTTGAGTTCAAAATCAACTTGGCTACTGGAGACCCTGTCTGAAAACATCAAAACCCACGAAAACCGAAAAATGTTAAGTGTTTTATTTTACGCATGACCACACAGGAAGCATTTCGGTGTCTGCGGGGTGGAATCAGGACGGACAAGTGCACTCCTTGGAATTACTGGGCTGGGTCCTCACCGGGACTCAGATAAGGAGGCTCATTGGAATTTCCTCAGGTCCCGAGGCGCTGCTCCCGTGCAGGGCCTGGGGCGCTTCACCTTAGCGGAAATGGACCGCCTGGTCCTCCCGGTCCCCGGGGAAAGTCCTCGACCCCGGGCCACAGAGGCAGGAACCGGGAGGCGCCCGCCCAGAAGAGTAGCAGGTTCACCGTCGGCCTCCGCTGGGGAGGGGCCCACATCAAACCACGCCCCCCTCAATCGGGAAGACCCATCAGGCCGCGGCCGCACTCAGCTAGGCGACTCGGGGAGCCGGTGTGTAGCCACGTCACTCTTCAGGGTGCCCCGCCCTCCACACTCCCTCCACCGGCCCCGCCCCTCACCGTGCCTCGCCCTCCGGTTCTCGCCGGGATCCTTGGGCACCTCCGCCTACCGAACGCCGCTCCTCCTGGAGGCCTGCCCTCTGCGCGCTCCGCCCCCAGCGGCCTCGCCCTCCGCACGCCCCGCCCACTGACCCGCTCGGCCACAGATCGCCACGCCCTCTGGCCCGCCTCGCCCTCCGCGCCCCGCCCCCAGCTGCCTCGCCCTCCGCACGCCCCGCCCCCTGGGGCAGTTACCGGCTCAGTCCGCGCGCGTCTCCGCGGCTCGCCTTAGAGAGCCCTCAGGCTGGCCGGAGCCCCGCGTTGCCGCCCGCGCTCGCCGAGGGCTCGCGGCTCGGGCGCGTCCGGCGCGTGTGGCGAGCTCCGGCCGTGCGCTGCGACGAGGCCGGGCGGCGGGCGGTTAGCGCTCCGCTCGGCGGGCGGGGAGGAGCGGCACGCCGAGCGCTGCACGCCTCGGCGGGCGGGTTCCGCGTCCCAGGACCGAAGCGGGTCGGTGCCCCCGCGTGGAGAGAGGGGCGGCCGGGCTCCCTGGACCCGGGCGGCCCCCGGCTGGGCAGGAGGCTGGGGCCAGGGGCCGGCCATGTCCGCTCGCGCCCCGGTGCCCGCCGCTGCCCCCCGGGAGGACCCGCCCGCCGTGGCCGGCGACCGGGACGCGCTGTTGGCAGCGGCGAGTCGGCGGGCGGAGCAGCCGGCGCCCGGCGAGCGGGAGGGCAAGGAGGCGAGGGAGGAGCGGGCCGCGGCCGCCACCAGCGCGGGGGCGCGGGGAGAGCCGTCACCGGCGCTCGTGCTGGGACACAGCGTGCCGCAAGCGGCCGTGCCCGTGAGGCCGCTGGCGCTGCACCTGGCACACAAGGCGCGCGCGTCCGGGGGTCCCTTCGGCGGGGAGGCTCCACCGCCGCCGCCGCCTCCGCCGCCGCCAGCCCCGCGGGACCCTCCCGAGGACGCCCGAGAGGACCGTGCGGCCGCCGGCCCCGAGGACAAGCCACCGCCGCCGCCGCCAAAGGGGAACCCGTGGACCAAGAAGCTGCCGCAGCACCTGTCCCCCGTGGGCACCGGCGCGCCGCCGCCCGCTCAGGACGCCCCGGAGGCCGGTGAGTGCAGTCCGCGGGAGGTGTTGGGTTCCTAGGTGTCATTCAACGTGCCGATTTACATAAATGGACATCTGGGAGCGGGAGCGACAGGAAGAGGTGGGACCTCAGGTTCTCCTTGACGGCTCGGGGCACGGCGTGGGTGACGGGGCAGCGCGGCCCGGCTGGGCTTGTGCCTTCACGTGTCGGGCGACCTGGACGCGGTGAAGACTGTGGGAAAGTTTCCGGGAACTTGCCAGAGTGTAAGCGAGTCAGAATAAGCGGATCCGTGTGTGAGTTGGGGCTCGCTTGGGAAGGAACTGGCTGCTAGGTAGAGGTGGCTCTGAGCGCAGCTGGCACGAAGGCGATTTTCGGTCGAGTTTCAGAGTGCCTGCCATAGGGCAGTTGATTCGGAGTCTGCTCTCCTGGTAGCCTGCGCGTTAGTGATTGGGCTGTGCCATCGCGTTCGAATGCTGACCAATGCAATATGGCCCTTGGGGCTTTATTTGGGTTGCAGCAGCTGCAGTTTGAAAAAATAAGATTAAGGCTGGCCTGTACTTGGTGGCGCATGCCTGTTACCCCATTGATGTGAAAGATTAGGCGTTCGAAGCCAGACTGAGCAATTTACTAAAGTCTTTCAAAACCTAAAGTTAAAAAAAAAGTGTGTGTGGGGGCTGATTGAAACTCCCCATTTGTTTTTAAAATTAAACTGTACTAAAATAACTGGGCTTTTCCTATAGAAATTGAGGCTGTTTTGTTGGAAAGTTTTCTCTGTTCTGTGGAGAAGTCAGTTGAACAGCCAGAGTTTGAGTACATTTACGGGGTTGTGAGGGTCAAACGCGGTGAAGGGATCCTGTGTAAATGTCATAGTTGAATCTGTCCTGTAGAGGGAGATAAATGTTGAACCAACTTAGTTTCTTAGCTTTTGCACGAAAATCCTCATTAATTTTGTTTGTTATTTTATTTGCTTTTGAAACACAACCCACGTGTTTAGCTCAGGCTGGTCTGGAGCCCTTGATCCTCCTGCCACTACCTTCTTCCAATTCCTCCTTCCGATCATAGGCATTTGGCTCTCCTTGTTAATTTTTACTAAATTTTGACACTTTAAGAAAAAAAGAAACACTAAATTTTGCTCTCAGTTAGTATTGGCATAATTCCTGCCTAGCTGAAAAGAGCTGTTTACTACCATTGCTAAGTGAAGAAAACATGCTATGCCAATTCTCTCTAACATTTAGTAAGAAAAGAAAGCCCTTGTTGATTGCTTTATTGACAGTTACCTCTCCACGTCTAGACTTTTTATTGAACTAACAAATATGAAGCCAGTTTTTTGTTTGTTTTAGCTTTTGTGTCTTTGTTGTTGTTTTGTTTATTTAGACAGGGTTTCTCTGTGAAACTGTCTAGGCTTGGTAAACCAGGCTGGCCTTGAACTCTCAGAGAGCAGCCTGCCTCTGAGCCACCACCGCCCAGCTGAAACCAGTTTTTATAAACACAGTTTAGCCAGGCAGTGCTGGTGCACACCTTTAATCCCAGCAGAGGCAAATCTCTGTGACTTCCTTTGAGGCCAGTTCCAGGACAGGCATGATAGCTACAGGGAAACCTTGTCTCAAAAAATAAATAAATAAACTAAACACAGTTTATTTTAAAGTGAGACTTGGCATTCTGTTGGAAGGAGGCCCCCAGTTTGTTCCAGGCTGCTTAGCCACAAAATAATCACGCAGAAACTATATTATTTAAATCATTGCTTGGCCCATAGTTCTAGCTTCTTATTGGCTAATTCTTACATATTAATTTAACCCATTACTATTAATCTGTATATCTCCATGTGGCTGTGGCTTACCTGGTGAAGTTCCTAGCTTCTGTCTCTGATGGCGGCTCCATGGCTTCTCTCTGACTCTGCCTTTTTTTCTCCCAGCATTCAGTCTAGCTTTCCCTGCTTACCTAAGTTCTGCCTTGCTATAGTTCCAGAGCAGTTTCTTTATTCATTAAGGTTATCACAGCACACAGAGGGGACTCCCACATCAACTTTTTTTCTGTACTTTATCATCAAGCTGTATGTACGTGCTTTTTTTTTCTGCACCCCCTCAGGAATTTTAATTTGCAAATTAATTGGGAAAATATTTCACAGTTTAACCTACTTGTGCCTTGAATATTTCGTCTTTCTTACATTAGGAATAGAGTGGCCCTTAACTGGGAATATGGCCCATACCTGTAATTCCAGCAGAAAGATCATGAGCTTGAGTCCAGCCTGAATTACTCTCAAGACCAGGATCTCAAAAAATCAAGAGTGGCCTGGTGGCTCACTCTTTTAAGTCCAGCACTCTTTTTTTTTTTTTAATATTTATTTTATGTGCATTTGTGTTTTGCCATGGGTGTCAAGTCCCCTGGAACTGAAATTATAGACAGTTGTGAGACATGGGTGCTGGGAATTGAACTTGGATCCTCTAGAAGAACAGTTAGTGCTCTTAACCACTGAGCCATCTCTCCAGCCCCCAAGCCCAGCACTCTTCTTGAGGGAATAACAAGCTGATCTCTGAGTTCAAGGCCAGCCTGATCTATCCTGTGAGTTACAGGAAAGCCTTGGTTACTTATGGAGACCTGGTCTCAAAAACTAAAGACAAAATCAAAAGGAGCTTCAGTTGTATCAATTTTTTTTATTGACAACTCTCAATTCTTGGGGTCATTCTGCAATATTAGCAATGCCTTTTTTCAGATCCATGTCAGGGTAGCAACCCTGACTCTAAGCTGTTCCTCCAGTAATAGGTAACATAAATAAGAGATTGTCATTGAACTGCTGAAAGCAATGGGTGATAGTTTAGTTGTTACTAAATGGATACTTGGCTTTTGGCAAGATCTTTGGTCTTGTAAATTAATGACATGGGTGGGTTCATGTCTTCTGCTTTTTTTTTTGTTTTGTTTTGAGATGACATTTTCTGAGTTATCCAAACCTCATTTGTCTTCCCAGGAGCTGGGATGATGGTCATTAAGGAGCCAATTTGTTTGTTTGATTGATTGATTGTTTTTCAATACAGGGTATCTCTGTCACAGCCCTGGCTTTCCCGGAATTCACTTTGTAGACCAGGCTGACTTCAAACTCTGTTTAGGCTGATCTTTGCTAAGATTAAAGGTGTGCACCACCACCAGGTCTATTGGAGCCAGGCCTTTTTTTTTTCCACTACAAGGTTACTTTTAAGGCTGGTACAGGGATTTAGGGCAATAGAGAAATAACCTATGTGTGGCACAAATAATAAAAACCCAGAGACAAATATAGGGGTTAAAGCTGAAGATCAGAAAAGCAGAACAGTCAGCTACTGGAGAGACCTCTACCAAAACTTCAGACCAAAAGGGCGAGATCCTGTCTCCTTGAATCCTCAGACTCCACACTCCACTGAGTTCCTGTTGGAGCCAGTTCTTAACACTAGAGTGATTTCTTTTTTTTTTTAAAAAAAAAAGTTATTTATTTATTTATTAAGTATACAACATATTGCCTCCATGTGTGCCCACACGCCAGAAGAGGGTGCCAGATCTTATTACAGCAACCACCATGAGGTTGCTGGGAATTGAACTTAGGTCCTCTGAAAGAGCAGCCAGTTCTCTTAACCACTGAGCCATCTCTCCAGCCCAGGTAATTCTTGACTTTTCTTTTTTTCCCCTGAGACAGGGTTTCTCTAACTTTGGTGCCTGTCCTGGAACTCACTCTGTTCTGTAGACCAGGCTGGCCTCAAACTCATAGAGATCTGCCTGCCTCTGCCTCCCGAGTGCAGGGATTAAAGGCATGTTCCACCACTGCCGGTAGTTATTTCTACATACAAGCTTAGTGCTGTGGCTTCTCATTTTCCTAAGAAAAATGACTAGGATGATATAGGGGTTGGGGCAGATTGCTCAGTGCTTACTCTTCTTTCAAAGCACTCGTTGGCTTCTAGCATTTACGTCAAGAGTGCTCACCCCAGTTAAATAGAGCATCTATTGCCTTCTAATCCCTGAGTGTGTCTGCACGTGGGTGACACAAATAAAAGCAAGAAATAGAAAAAAAAAGAATGAGATGTGTAGTTGCACATACCTATAGCCCCAGCTACTCAGAGGCTGAGGCTACAGAATCAACTTCACCTTGGAGTTTGTGACCAGCCAGAGCAATATAATAAGGCAGAGCTGGAGAGATATGTGGCTCAGAGGTTAAGAGCATATGATGCTTTTTCAGAGGAGCTGAGTTTGGTTCCCAGAACCAACATCGTGTAGCAGTAAATAGCTGCCTGTAACTCAGTTCTAGAGACTCTCCGCACCCTCCTCTTACTCCTTGGGTACCTACACTTACATGCACATGCACACGGATAAATACATAATTAAAGTGAAAAAGGTAAGGCCCTGATCAGAAAGAGAATAATGGTAATGATAAAAAAAAAATCAAGTATGTCCAGAGATCATTTAGGGTTTAAAGGATGTAGATTAAGCTATATTAAGTCTATTGATAGGATACTCTTTGTTTTTTGTTTTTCGAGATAAGGGTTTCTTTGTGTAGCTTTGGAGTCTATCCTGGAACTTGCTCTGTAGATCAGGCTGACTTCAAACTCACAGCGTCCATCTACCTCTGCCTCCTGAGTGCCGGGATTAAAGAATGTGCCACCACTGCCCCCAAATTGAAAGAGAAAAGCCTATCAATCCCAGCCAAACTGTCAGTCTTCATGTAGTGAAGAAATTACATGCACAAACTTTTGCCATAAACTATTATCAGAGTTAGATACATTATAGGAAGCATTTGGAGTCTTTAGGATATGATCATGAACTTATTAAAATTATTTATTTATTTTATTTATTTGTGTGTGTGTGTGTGTACGTGCATGCCACAATGGTTTATGTGAAGATCAGAGAAGAGCTTTGGAGTTGTTTTTCTCCTTAGATCGTGTGTGTTTGGGGGATCAAGCTTAGGTTAGGTGTGGCAGCAAGTTCCTTTACCTATTTAGCTAGCCATGTGGGCATCATAACCCCTCTGAACAAAAGCAAGCCAGATTCTTGATGGTCCCATGTTTTGA